GTCAGAATTGTCACTTGTTACTTTTTTTTCAGCTAACTCTCGGATTCGATGAAAATTTGCTCCCTTGTCATGTATTTGCTTCCCTCTCAGTCCATCCTGTCGATGAAAATTTGCTCCCCTCTCAATATAATTCTGCTTGACAGCTAGAATTATACTGAGAGGAGATCGTGGTCAGAAAATGTTAAAATGTTGGATTCTTCTCTTTTTGTTTTCATAACTGCAGGTCATCCATTAAAATTTTCTCTATGCTCTCTTACTGTTTATCGCATTCTCTTTATTTTCATTACTGACGCTTTGACCATTTTAATTTTTAATTGATGTGCTGGAAAAAGATATCTATCATCCTTTGAAGTAGTACATTATATTCAGAGCTTAAATTTAACCGCAGACCGGTTGAGCTATTTCTTATTTTTTGTGTGAAATTGTAACTCCAGTCGAAATCTCAAATAAGTCATCCAGTACTGTATTTTACTATTTATTTACCATTTATTTAATAACTTTTATTTTTTATTTATCTCTTTACATTTTATTAAATTTTAATATGAAATGTTTAATTATTCTAATCATTCATTATTTGATTTTAATAAGTAATTATTTAATTGTTTGATTATTAATGATTTTACTAGTCATTTTATTTAATTATTTATTTTCCTCTTTTTTTCCTGATAGCCTTCTATAGGGCTATGGCACTTCTAATTTTATAAGTTAATCCCTGGTCATTTGAGACTATTGGAATTGTATAAGTCAAAAACCTAAACTGAAATATAGCGTTTCAATTGTAAAAACTTAATAAATAAATAATTTGCATCACAGGAATTAATTTAACTAATCCAATTTACTTATGTGTATTGCTAGAGTATACGAAGAGTATATGTAAAATTGGAAGAGATCTTTACACAAAAAAGGGGGGAAGGAAATTTGTAAAAATCTTTATGGCACTTCAAGGTGTGCCATTTACTTTTTTCCGTGATTTCTTCAGAATATTTGACGATGTTCCATATTTCCGCATTCAAGAGCATTGAATAAACATGATTAGAAAATTCGAAGTAATGTTGTACTTACATAATGCCATATGTGTGAATCTGAAAACAGACCATACGTGAGCTAAAGACTTATTTCGCATGTATATACCATGAGGCTATAGACATCAGAATATGAATAACTTTTTAACGTATTTTTGAAAAGAAAAAAACTGAGCGTGAGGTACCCTTTTCTATACTCAGTTCTTTCAGTCGGCTCGAGATGATAATATATTTAAGCATTTTGGTGAAAGAAAAAATTCACGAAAACCAAATATTTTACTGTTTTGTGTCTGACCTTTTTCTACTGAATACCAGGTACATGTATGAAGGTCTGTATGTGTGTATGGGAATATTTACTCATATCCAGGCAAACATGCATATACATGATGTGTATATATATATATATATGCAAACATAACATACATTATATGTGTGGGGGGGTAAAGCAACTTAAATAATTCTACAATAATAGGAAAATAAATTAAGTGGTGCACTGTTAGACGTCTCGCAAAATATTATCCTTTTCGGAGGTACATAAATACAAGCATAAGAATAGGTACGTTTTAAATTACACCTATTGAAGGTATTCTGTAAAAATAGAATAAAGATGCCAATTTTAACAAGCATGTATATTACCTTTTAATTTCTCAGTCCGTTAAGGAAAGAGCTGCTTTAATTTGAAAACTAAGTTAAGTACTTATGCCCTATTAAAACGTCAACACCTTTGTGAAATCAAAATTTTCCAGGCCGATTGGATGATAAATGCCCGGGTAGTGAAATGCAACGTAAAAGCAACGGAACTTGAAAATAGGAAAATTAATCTACTGGTCTGTCTGACTTCAAAATATTTCTGTACTGTGTGTAAGGAATCTAAATCACCCAGTTCCTATTTCATACGATGTGCCCTTAAAATTTGAAAGCTAAATTAAATAGCTCTTGTGCCAAGACTACCACTATGCTTAGAACTGGCAGTTTGTCGCAACAGATAAATTGAAGATTATTTGCCTCGGTGTTGTTAAAAGGTGTGAAAACTAGCTTCTGCTAGACCATTGGAGGATTAATTCTGTGAAAAGCATAGTATAATGCAACATTTGAAGAAAAATGTAAAGACTCAGTTAGAGAAGATTTAACTTCAAATCAAGTAGCTTCGAATTCTCTCAAACAAAATAAACTTTATTAAATGCCTGAGTACTCAAACAGATGAGACATATTCTGTAAGGAATTTCTGTATACATTCTCTAAAGTGAAGAGAAAATGTATCTGTTAGGGATTTATACGAATATGTGTGTTCTTATTATTAAAAACAATGCTATATCTACAGTTTGTATAATTTCAAAATAAGTATGTATAAGTATACTTTTACAGTACAATATGTATTTATTACTGTTTGTAAAATTTTTTTAAAATGTATGCATAATTTTAAAATTAACAAGTTAACACCGTAACATAAGAAATATTTTTAAATTTAATGATGCTTCATAATTTAGCATTACTTTATAAACTATTTTTTTCCTCCTTTCCGCATGTTTCTTTAATTTGTTGCGTTAATTTCTCAGATATATTTCAAAGTGCAACTATATATATACTATCTTTAAGATGTCACAAAAATATTCTAGGCGGTAAATACGAGCTTTCCGCTCAGAAGAAGATTTTTGACGTCCTCATCCGTAATACTCCTTAATATCGAAAGAGCAGAGATATTGCAACTATTCCACCAAATCATGTTGACGTAGTCTGTTGCTTCGAAGCTGAGTATATAAAGTATTTTCTCCCTCCTTTCGGCATGGCTTCGTGGTGTAACGATAGCACACTCGGTGCATATCCGTTTCGAGTCCCGGAGAAGGCATTGAATATTTTTCATGTCTCCTCCTTAAAAAAAAAAAAAAAAAAAAAAACTAATGAGTCTACAATGGCGCCCGAACTAAACAGTGGTGAACAATAATTAGTCACCACCAGCATTTCGCGACTGGGTCCTCTAATACTCTAACCCTTTAAAAGCGGAGTATAAAAGGTATTTCATACCTTCCAGCATGCCTTCGTGGTGTAACGGTAGCACATTCGCCGCGTATTTCGAGAGGTCCAGGTTCGAGCCCAGGCGAGGGAACTACACATTTTTCACATCTCTTGTTTAAACAAAACTTAGCGTCTTTAACCTAAGACCAATGACATCTTTTACCCCGCGTTTTTAGTAAACTTAGTGGGCTCGAATGTATTGCATTTCGCGAATATGATAAGAGTTTGCCAGCAATTTCTATTCGCCAGCAATGAACAAGTTTGTCGTTTAATTATTAAATCTTAATAACAAGTTTAATTTTTTAAATCTTAAATCAACAGTTCATAGTACTGATTTGTATTCTTTCCTCAGTGTTTCCTAAACTGTATTTTAAAAGTTTCTTTTGTAAAATGTAGTAGCAGTTTCTTCTTTTTATATCGATAACCTTAGAATCAAGGAACAAAACTAGATTTTTTTAAATTATGTTCTTTTATGTCTTAAGTCAATTTCATTAAAATTAACCAGAACAGTTTTCCTTAAATCTTCACAAAATATTCAAAATTTTAATCTCCTTTTTAATTTTTTGAAGGGAAAGAAAAAACATTTTATTGTTTCACTATATATTACGCACACACAGAGAGAGGGGGGAAGTTATATTTTTACTTTATATATTTAAGTTCCAGTCTACAAAGAATGAGACAAACTAATGTACCGATTCGTTTAATCCGTCTAGCAATATAAGCCGTCTAGCAGTTTTAAGAAATAACAGTAAATGAAACCATATGTACAATTCCCGCGCAAATTAAACATGGATAGAAGAAGACAAATCTCTTTCATTGGCAAGCTTGACACAAAAATTAGATCAGAGATTAATAATAAATTACATTTCATTTTTAAACACTCTCACTGAGTCTCCCAATGCTATTTAATGGGCCTTTGAGAGTCATGCTGTAGAAAATTGTCAGCAATTGCGTCACCGTTCTATGCTTAGTAGTTAGTCGACTCTAGAAAGCTTGTTTTGTCGATCAGCAGCAGTGTATATTAATGGGAGACAAAGAGAGTAAAGAATTACTAATGCCGGTCGTATTATATTTTCTATGCAAGTTTAGTATGCAGCTCCCTACAATAAGTGTACATTAACTTCCAATAATGCATTTTAAAGTTAGAAAATAATACATGCACTACTCTGAAATCTTATCTGGGGATAAATGAATGTCGTTAATTATTCTTTTGAGTTTGGTTGTTTTTATAGAGAGCTTTTTCATATTCATTGGGGTATTCCGGAATTTAACTTAAAATCATAATTTATTTTCTAAAATGAATTTCTAAATTTTCGTAGTGAATTTGGCACCGCTTTTATTTGTTCAGCTGTGGCAACGCACTTGCCTCAGCCTTGGCCCGGCTTTGATATCCAGTAAAGTACAAGTATAAAAACAAATTCTTAATCGCCATGGTCAAAATATCATAACATTGCACTTTCACTGTAACGATGTTTCAAATGCTACTGAGATAATCTGTATATGAATTAAATTTTTCACTGAATGCAATATTACTATGATAATATGTGCTCTACTTACGCATGCTGCAACATTATTTTTCCATACTTAGCTTCTATTTTGTAGATGAAACTAACTTGGAATAAACTTTTAAGTTGCTTATGATCGTGTGAAAGTTGGGTTTTGGGGAACTTAGGTTTATTGTCATGTCATCAAGATATTTCGATCGTAGTAAATATAATAATGTAATCTTAATTTATATGCATAAATATGCTAAATGTACATTTTTCTCTTTTAACTAAAGTTAACTGAAGGGAAAATGAAAATAAATATGCTCAGATTTCGAGTTACACTTATCTATTCATTTCCTACCGTTTAGATCACACTCCACCCAAAGGAAAACAATAAAGAAAAGTAGATTTCATGAATGTAAGCTGCGGATGTTACACAGTATCAGTTAAACCCGATAACACCTGGGTGTGTCTTTACACTGCTTCATTTGGGGTCACTTCTTTGTGTTAATCAGACTAAAGCCATTTCTTTGAGAAAATGAAGCCTCAAAGTTTAAAAGCTGATATAAAATGGAGTATTTTAAAAATGACTATTGAGGATTTTGGAGAAATGCACTTTCTTTTAAAGCTCTTCATATTCATCATATTCCGAGAATTCTATTTCGAGAAAGGGTGGAATACAAATGAATTTCTTTCCGAAATGTACCTTACAGATGAAAACCTACTTGTAAGGCAGCAAATATTCGTTATATAATACATTAAAATACATTTAACCGAAAAGTTAACATAAAAGCAGTGAGTCTTGTAACTAATACTTTTCATTTTTTAAATCAGTTTTAACATTATTATTATCATTATTATTGTTTGGAAGTAAAATTTTATTTTATAACGGAAAATTATTTTTCCAATTAAAATTATTGATGGTTATATTGCATTTATAAACTAATCAATTCTGAAATCTCAGTCCAAGAAATTTAGTACTTAAATATATTACTCGTCAACAAATAAACACCAGTCACGATGTTAATTTTAAGTTGTTTGCTTTTATTAATTAATAATTGTTTAATTTCTTTAATTAATAATTTTAAGATATAAAAATTTATCATATTACATATTTTAATATAATAATCTTAACATGTATTTATTTCTCCTATTAACCGTTAAAATTATTTCTCACATGTTAACTGAAAAAACTGTTATCTGAAATGGCTGTGTATACTTGAGTTCTAACAATCGGAGTTCTGTATGTATGTTTTGCTATATGACAGCAAAAGGCGATACATTTTTGGGAGAGGATGAGACCTGTATATGACATTATAAAACTAAAAAGGGGAGTTCTAAAACGTTACCTAACCCTGCCCCAAGATGGTGAATCAGAATTCATCCTTTATTCCTTACGTTTAAAGAGTAGAAGTAAACGTTCATAGAACTTTTCAAATCAGTACTGCTTCTGCAACATAAAAAATTTTGAAAGCAGAATTAGAATTCTGCTCAAAATTCTTTATTTTTGTAAAGAGAAAGATCAGGAGAACAATAAATTCACCAAAGATTGAATATAGCAATATAAAATAATTTTACATATTTAACAGTAGAAATACTGAAGGAAACTTTACTACGAAACAATGCATTTTGAGCAGTTGATATTTCCCTCAAGAAACTAACTTTTAGTGGCAAAAATCTCCCAAGTAACAAAACGAACTCGTTTTTGTTAAACTTGTAGGATTTTTATTATTTCAATTAACCAGTTATGATTTAGACCTCTGCTGTTACTTTTTCTCCGTTTCTACATCAGAATGCAAATGACTTAGCGTGTATTTAAGATGAGGTCTTGAGATTGTAGGACAGAGCATGTTCTGCCGCTTGAGGCCACGTTACTAAGTTGCTGCTAGCTCAGATAAAACTTTTAGTCTTCGGTCTTGCATTATAACTGCCGACACTGAATCTCCACGCCAATTAGATTTGTAAGCCAACTTCTCGTTAAACTGATTTTTCTAGCCTTCGGCTACTACACGTGATTGTTACTTTAAGTTATCTCGCTAAAAATGCTGGCTGAGCTAGGTGTGCCATCTGTTATTCCTTAGTTTTAAATAAAAAGTCTTTTATACCTGTCTCAAAGCTCAGTAAATAAGTACAAGTCAGTACAAGTAAGAAAAAAATTCTTAATCACGATGGTCAAAATATCATAACATTGCACTTTCACTGTAATGATGTTTTAAATGTTACTGAGATAATCTGTATATGAATAAAATTTTTCACTGAATACAATATTAATATGATAATCTGTGCTCTACTTACGCATGCTGTAGCATTATTTTTTATTTATTTTAGACTTGGCGATAATTCGCTTAACATCTGCCAAGCGTTTGGACAGTAACCTGATGTTTACGAAACAAACCAAACTTTACAAACTTAATATCGGCGCTGTGCAGTCTGTTTCTTTAAGCTTAACAAAGCAGTCTGTATAGTGTCTACAAAAAATAAACTATATGCCCAAACTTTCAATAAGCCTAATTTGAAAGGAATAGGAGTAAAAATGGAGTAAAAGAAAATTCGGTTTAAAAAGGAAACTTAGCATTAATTTCTAGTTTTACATATAGACATTTGGTTTAATTTATAGAATATTTCCACTTATTTCATTTCTATTTTTACAGCCCTCACTACGACTTAAAAGATGCTCGATTTGAAGAAGAAAGAATGTCCACTATCACACTAGGAGTTATTAGCAAGCCATACTCCTGGCCATTAAAATTGCTGCACCGTGATGAAAAGCGGTGGTAAAAATATATTTGTTGTACAAATTTATTATAATAAAAAGGTTAAATGATTAATATTTCAGATAATGTCATAAGAAAATCCCGAAAATAGAGTTTCGGACGTCCGCCTCTGACAATAAGGCAATTATTGTACGGCTGTGTATGGATTCAAACAGATATTTGATGGCAGTTGTAGATATTATACTCCATGCAGCTCCATTTCTGTGCCAGAGTTCATCAGTAGTAATATGTGGATGTTTCCATGCCCCAATTAACCATACGTTTTCAAATGCTGAGAGTTCTGGAGTACGCGGTAGCCGAGGATGGATTCAAAAACGTTATGTATTGAGGAAAGAAAATAAGCGTGCGCAACATGTAGTCTCGAATTGTCTTGTTGAAAGGTTGGGAGGCGGAGGCCAGGAAGATACGGTCTAGCCATAGGCATTAAAACCTTAGCAACGTACAGATGTTGGTCAAACGGACTAGAGGTGAAAGGGATGTATACCGAATGGCACCCATATCATCGATCTACGTGCTGGCCGCTATGACGATAAAGAATGCAAGCTTCCAAAATTTCTTACTTTTGCTGCTTCCGCCTATGGATGCGATTAGTATGATGCTGTCAGAAAAAGCATAACTCGTCTAAAAATACCATTAAATGTTAATGAAGTGTCCACTTGTCCAGAGTATCATCGCCTTGAGTGTTGCATCGTTAAAAGCACCATTCGAGGCTATGATACTCTGCTTTAATTCCAATGGAAGCTAAAGCAATGGTCATGTGGACATGTTGGTGTCGTACACGTTGTCTGACTGCATATGCGGATGATTGATGCTGTGTAAGATACACAGTTATTTGTTATTTGATCCAAGCTGTGTGGTGGGGCTGTATGCGCATTAACAGCAATGTGGGCAAGATGTTGTCGTCTTTTTTCACAAATAATAACTATAACTTTTTAAGCCCAAAAAATACATAATTTGGAATTACAGGTTTTAAACGCTTTTCATCTTCCTTATTCCCAAAAGTCACATTAAGAACGATTGAATTTCCACAATAGTGAGTTTAGTAATTATAGAAAAAACAACAAAAGTTCGCTATTTTTCAAGACTTTGAGTATGATGCGCGAATGGACGATAAACTTTTATATGAAACACTCTTTTTTTTTTCCTTTTCATTTTGCATTGTTAGGCAATAGGCAACCTTTTCGGGTATAGCGACTGAAAGAAAAAAAAAGGGGGTTCTACCCATCCTAGCACGCATGTCGTGAAATGCTAATCATCTGCAAATCCCAGCATATTCTAACTTCCATGCAAATGTCAAGCTTGTTACGCCTTCCTTCATTCGATAGCAATTTTAATAGCAAACAGTGTGTTCACGCTAGGAGACAATGCTTCTCTATTCTATATATTAAAATATTCTATATATCAGAGAATTATTGTAGCATACCTGCTTAGCATACCAAATCGAAAGCTTACCACGATCATAACCTTTACGGTAGAGGAAATCCTGCGTTTTGAAAAGTGGCTTTTTATGATCTAACTAGATTATAATAAAAATAATCATATCAATAACACTATGATATCAATAATGCTACATTTTTTATTTTAATTTCGTATTTGCATAATAGACCACTCTTTAATTTAAGTCAGTCATTCTGAGATTAGGAATTAGAGAATTAAGAAAAGATTTATTAAGGAAATTTAGTTAGATTTGTTTAAATACTGCGAGAGGAGAAAACTTTCATATCTAAATTTTAAATCATGTGATTACATATTTTTTCTTTTGTTCCTGTTTTCGAATACGTATATAGGTTGAAACTAATTGCTACTAGCTTAATTCAGAAAAGCGGTCAAGTTTGTTATTTGCGTAATTCTAAACAAGTAATTCAGAAGAATCATATTGCAACAGATTTCGAAACCGAGCTTGTCTTCTGCAGTTTAGCAGCACGTTTCTCAGAGGTATCAAATTAAAAACTGAAACTCATAAAGTTAGACAAAACACAGTCATTATATTGTTTTGTTTTTGGGTATAAATGTTTTAATTCTTATTCTCATTTTGTTCGGATTATATCTTCATACTTTTTTCTTTTAATCTTTTTATATTAACATGTAATATCATTCTTAATTTGGTGTTAACCTTCCTAATATCAAATTAGAACTTCTTTAGGATAATCCTTACGGAACTAAAGTTAAGAGACAAATTGTAACTATAGCGAAGGCAAGGTTCATTACTTTTTTTTTTTTTTTTTTTGATAAAAGAGGAATGTTTTTCAATTAAATTTTTTTAGACTTTAGAAAATTTATTTAATTAACCGCTTTTCCAGGGAATGTTATAAATTTTCCAAGAACTAAAATCTTGCACAGAACTTTTAAGGAGCAGACAACGAATTTTAGTTACAGGAGAGAAATGAATTTCGAAGTCGAATGTAAAAGGATACACAATTTTAAAACTAACAGAAAGGGAAAATGGGGCAAAGTCTGCACATAAAGTAACAGCTTTCGAATAATTAAATTCCTCAATAAAGAAAAGAAGTAAAGATTACATGTTAAAAGCATGAAAAATAAAGAACAGGAAAGAACTATCTTTTTAGAAAGCTGATAAAATTTTGAGATGAAGGGGGGAAATAAGAAACAAATTTTCTGTAATTCTAATCGCTAAAGTTAAATTTACTGCGTGCAGTTAGAATGTGAAAGAACGCAAGGGAATAAAGAGTTTTAAAATTAAAATTGAGTTGATTAGCAGCGTCAGTGTAGTTTATAACTCATAAGGTTATAACGTATTTCCCCCCACATTCTTGGCATGCCTTTGTGGTCTGGTGATCTGCACGCTGGGCGCGTATTCCAGAGGTCCGCGGCTCGATTCCCGGCGCAGGCGTTGCTAATTTTTCCAGGATTTGGCGATTCGGTCCCCTAAAAAACCAGTCGCCCTTTAAATGTGGAAGTATATAAGGTATTTCTCCCGCCTTTTTGGTGTGGTGGTCTGCACGCTGGTTTGCCCGTATTCCCGAGGTTCGCGGTTCGATTCCCGGCGAAGGCGTTGCTAATTTTTCATCTTTCCTGCTTCGAAAAAAATACCTAATGTCTCTACAAGGTAATCACTTCCGCTCACTATTTTATTTACAGATAGTTCCGCTCACTATTTTATTTACATGACGAGTATTTACGTGTACTAGGATGTTTCTCATAGTATATCCCTTGATATGGAACAAATAGAAATGGAGATATTTTTGTGGATTTCTTTAGAAGAGATATGAATACCTAAAATTTGCTTTCAAGATATATCGGTTCTTTTACTAAAGCGTCAGTAAATAATGATCTAACATCAAAAGAGACTACAGGTGAAATCTAGAGAATAATATTCTATAGTTTAGGGTAAATTTCAAATAACTTGAATTTATTAATTAAGACAAAGCACGAGAAGACAGTTTTCGAAGCAAAGGGCTGTCTTTTGCGAAAATTTCCTCGTACTTACACTTGAAAGAAGAAACCAAAATCACACCTCGCAGCTCGCTTAGTAGACCGAAACATAACCCAGGAAGAGTTGTCAGTGTTTCTCATTTTTAACCACTCGGTCAGAGTTCGAAGACAAACTGAAATGAGCGTTGGAACTTTCGTAATATAAATATTGGTTGAAAGTAATAGAGAAAATATGGTATTATATATAGGATCATCCAAACTTGGCAGAAAAATTAAAACTTCAACATTACGAAAATTATAGACAGTAGCACGCTGAGGTTTTCAGAAAGGCAGAGAGAGACACGGGTTTTTTATAATGGAAAGTTTTATCGCCAGAATAGTAACTCCAGACAGATGGTACTTCTAATATGTAAGAATTTCGTTCAATGGCAAAGCCCAATCTGAATTCAGCTAAGATTACAAATGTTCAGTGTCACGGCTATCATTTATAAGAATGGCTGTCAGACGTGACATGACACTACCCAGTATCGAAAAGGTTCAGCTTCAAGTCCTGTCATATGGCGCATAACCGTTTCTTCCAGCATGGCCAACGTAGGCCAACCTCTTATATCTGTGACTTCAAACAGAAATGTGCTCATTCTAGCAGTAAAATTTTCATTACTTAAAAAATATAGCCTAAGTATTGTATATACTATGAAACATGTATGTATTATGGCCAATGAAAATTATTATGAACTATGTAAGCATGTATTATGTAACAGGCTCAGTGTATTATGAACTATGTAAGCATGTGTATGTATGAACTATGTAAGCATGTATTATGAACTACTTGTATTGCAAGCATGTATTATGAACTACTTGTATATAAGCATGTACTATGTACTATGTCTGTCATGAACTGTGTAACTATGTAAGCATATAGTATGAACTATGTAAGCATATATTATGAACTATGTAAGCATGTGTATGTATGAACTATGTAAGCATGTATTATGATACAGGATTAATGTATGCCCTTATGGGGCCCATAAGGTGTTGCCCCGGATAGTTTCGGAGCCTGGACTAGACCCGAATAGTTTAAGTAAGCCGCACGGGTGTTCAGACTCTGCTTTTAACTGTTAACTGTGCATTTCTGTGGAAACCGCATCGTGCTACTGTCCATGCTTTTCGAATTATTGATCTTTTTACTTTGTTACTTGTGGATCGCCCTGTATAAATGGAGCAGACGTAATAGAATTTGGTAGACTGCTAAATTTATGAAGTCTGAAAGATATAAAGTTAGTCAGATTTAACAATAAGGAACATTAATCATTTTAAAAAAAGTATGTGGAAGACTATGAGACGATTTAATATCGATTTAAACTTTAGAGAGATTAGAAGCTGAAGTAAGTGTTTAAGGAAAGAGAACTGCACGCCTCCGTTTAAAATTCATGAGATTTCGACAGAATTAGTATAATTTTGCATATAGAAACAATTCGTCCCCTTTCATCAGCTTTGGAGATAACAGCATGATGGTCTGACGGAATCTCACCCAGAACTGGTTTATCTTTCTCTGCAAAATTCGATCCGAATATTCTGTCTTGAACAGAGAATTTGGAAGGCTATGA